AGCAATATAACGGTTCTCGAGCTGTTTCCTATCTGGATTGCCATAAATATCTGGGGTAAAGAATTAATGAATAAGAAAATTAAATTTTATTGTGACAATGAAGCGGTGGTGCACATATTAAATACGTTAACATCGAAATCTGAGTTAGTTATGTGCATTGTGCGAGCGCTTACGCTAAAATGTTTGAAATTTAATATCTTGTTGAAAGCAAAACATATTCCTGGTTCGCGTAATGAAATTTGCGATGCATTGTCTCGATTTCAGGCAACGAAGTTCAGAGAATTGGCTCCCGAGGCGGATCTGTGCCCAGTGGTAGTCCCACAATCACTTTGGAATATCTTCAACGAACAACAATAGGTCTTATGCAAAATAGTTTGGCATTCAACACATTTCAAACTTATAATACGGCCGTTAGTTTCTTTTCTAAATTTAGATCCATGTACAAGTTTGAGGAGCATTGACCGGCAACTCAACAGCAGTTAGTCTTGTTTATTGCATACTGTTTCAATAAAGGCCTCTCTCCGAAACCTATCAAAACTTATATTGCAGGCTTGGATTATTTTCATAGGGTAAACGAATGGCCACCAGTCACAAGTAACTTTTTGATAGCTAAATTGCTTGATGGTTGTTTTCGGGTTAGGAAAACAGTTGATAATAGAGCGCCTATCACCAAACACGTTTTGTTAGGCATATTAAATGAACTTCACAGAGTATGTTATAATCAGTACGAGATTAAGTTATTTAAATCATTGTGGCTTTTGGAATATTTTGGTCTGTTCAGAATTAGTGAATTAGTGGCTTGTTATGCATACGGTCCAAATTACAATATTAATCGCGGTGATATATACATTTCACCGGACGGTCATTTCGTTTCAGTGTCATTAAATAGGCACAAAACAAATCAATGCAGTAAAGCAACAGTGTTGAAACTCGCACTTGAACAAGATAAAAACGCATGTCCGGTTACGGCCTTGATTAGCTACATTAATGTGAGCCCGGATATCGAGGGTTCTTTGCTTTGCCATGCTGATGGCAAACCGGTGCTAAGACATCAATTTTCATTTCTATTGGATAAATGTATTGTCCGTGCCGGTTTCAACCGGGGAAAGTATACTTCACATAGCTTCCGGATTGGCCGTGCAACGGACCTAGCAAGTATGGGTATGCCGTCCTGTTTAATTCAAAAAATGGGTCGTTGGTCATCAGATGCCTATAAAACTTATATACGCGTATAAATTTGTTTGAATTATTGATATCAGCATTTATAAGAACGAAATTTATGCTAGAATTGAAATACATGTACTTGTTACCTTGACTTAATTTATGCTTTAGATATTTGGATCCTGGGAGATTCCATCCCATACTGGGCCGGTGTAAGAGCCAATGAATTAGGAACCCCTAACCTTAAAGGGAGACACAGGCAAAATTTTCATTTCTTATTTTTGATTTCTTCATTTATTATTCTGTAAATGTCCTCAAAATGAATATATTAGACGGTCAAAGGAACAAAACTTTTCTCCATATAAATAATAAAATAGTGGTTTCCTAACTTGACCCGCGTGGGTCAGGTTAGAGCGCTAGGATTTCACAATAGATGTCACAATGAACTCTGTTAACGTTAAAGAACATGTGAGATGAATGACTTAGACTTGTTTCAATCATACAATATCCACAATATCTGTTATTGTCACTTCAAAGGTTTGTACAAGTCACCTGACTTGTTTTAGAACTATTCAGTGATTCTATTGGCGTCTAAATTTTGTTCAACATACATAGATACATTTACGCTTAAAACCAAAAATATATATGATTTAAACAGAAATTCATGCTGAAACTTTAAGAAATGCCACTTTAAAGTGAATTGAGTTGATAAGATCATTTTAATATTTTTTGTCATTATTTTGCCTAAATATCCCTTTAAACTTGACGGTAAATCAATTGGATGGTGGGGCATACGGGGAATGACTTACGCCGTTCTGTGGAATGTAACGTCATTCTTAGCAAGCCACCTGATGTTATATTAATTCATCTCGGAGGTAATGATTTGTTGTCTAAAACTTTGAGAAAATTAAGATTTATTATTGTTGCCGAAATTAAGTACTTAAGTGAAGCTTTTCCGGATTCCGTAATTATTTGGATAGACATTCTCCAACGTCTTTCATGGAATTCCGAAGTATCAATACATAAAATTGAAGAAAGCAGAAAACGAATAAATCGCTGGGGTAGGCAGCAAGTTCGTCGTCACCCCAAATCTGAAGTAATTTCGGTAGATATTGATTATAAAACACCTGGTTTCTTCAGGGCGGACGGAGTTCATTTATCAAATATAGGGTTAGCTTTTTACATTGATGCCATTAAGGATGTCATATTGAAGTACATTTAAAACTTAATACAATGGTCATATAATTGAATAAGTTGCTGATACGTCGTTTGAATTTTCGGGGGAATAAATTTTCTTTTGCATAAAATTTATCGTGGCGGCAAAAATTCAAAGGGACGGGTTGGACAAGCGCAGGTAAATACTTAAGAAGCGAGTTTAACTAAATTCGTCATTTGTTAAATAGTTTTGTTCCTTTGGGCATACAGATAAGGGGTAATCGCTACACCAAGGTTTTTTCTCCTGGGTAGTGAATTATCTCTTGTTTATAATTTTGAAATTTTCATACTAGAAATTGCCTGTGATAAATCAAGTTTTGATTTTTCGCGTGTGTATACAACCGCCAGCATGTCATTTATTATACCGCAAAGTACGCTAAAGCCGTTTTGTCCATGTACGCCATTATGTCCGTTCAGCCTTTCAGTCAGTTTGTTTTGATTGCGTACAAAAGTGTGTAACTTTAACAGCGTATGGCTCGGTTAAGTGGTCGTGTTGCATGAAGTAATGGGCAATAGTGTATAGTGCCGAGTAAATCAGTGTGTTGGTAAACTTGTGTGGTTTAAAGTTTTTGCTGGCGGTTAGTTTGTCACTCGGTTGACAGTGAGTGTGAACAGGGTTTTGCCCATGGAAGTGGCTGGTAATTCCTTGTTTCACGAGTGTACTAGGCAATCTTTGGGTATTAATATCTCTTAGATTATAAATTACCTGCGCTTGTCCGCTCGTCCCTCATCAGGCTCTAAAGTAAGACAAAGGCTTTCTCCTTGCTTGCTTGCTTTTAATTCGCGGCCATTTTCTGCCATTACAATTTCATTTATTAAATGATTAATACTGTATATTAGTGATGTTATAAATGAACCTCATAAGTAATGCTGGGTGTTTATTGTTTCAATAAAATGTGAAATTTGATGATTGTTTGTGTTCAGCTTCGAAGTCATAAAATAATAATAGATTATATAAAAGTGAATGAAAATGTATGCATTATAGGAAGCCATTCAGCAAGCAAGAATACCATTTAATCACTTGACCTAATTTACCTGTCTGTTTATACCATTTTAATGATTTTGAACGGAAAACAACAGTTACGTTTGTTTTTCGTACCGGTCTGTTGTTTTTTATTACATCTGTCCCTGGAACTCAATATGTCTGAAAAATTTGTAAATAGTAGAATAAGTTAAAATTGATATTATTGGCATACAAAATTTAACAAATGATTATCAGATAATAACCAATGGAAACGCAATAAAAAGACGATATTTTCGACAACTCATTCGATCATCTGCCTTATTCAGCTTTGCAATAAAACGCGTTGATAAGTACATTTTCCTAATTTGATTTATGTTCTGGTGCACAATAGATATATGCTTTATGTTTTTGGATCTTTAATATTGAGTCTAAATGGTCATTTGTCTATTATCGTTGATTCAGAAATCATGTGTGATTCATAGTCGTTCGCATGCAAAGATAAGAAATTAACTTTAAGCTGACAATAAAAGCCGGTTAGGTTGGCTGGCCGTCAAGATGTGACCAAACATAATTATGTTAAAATCGGCGTAAGAACCAGATTAAAAATCACAACAAATAACATTCACAGTTAACGATTATTATAATATAATATTCTTTAATAGTTAAGCACACTTGATCTACAAAAATATGTTGTGTTTACTTTATAATTTCAAGTATTGATGCCCGGCATCCATGTATAATTATCATATGAGGTTTGGATTTTGATGTTTCCGATTTTGTTATTTTAAGTTTATGTTTCAGACATAACCGATTTGATATAACTTTCTAGTTGATGGACTGATAAATGTTTGCCTTCGTTTATGTTATTACGCATTTTGTTTTTTAATGAAACAATGGTCCTTAAGGTATTCTTGCGGATGTTTTTGAACCATTACTAGTTTTTTTAGAAATGCCATTTCGTATTTTATGGTGTCTGATAATGATATTAGATCATAAAGTTTTAAAAATATAACTAATATTACAACATGAATCCGTTAATCATGTTGCAATGCTGACGGTTCTGATCATGTCCCGGAGGACTTTGTGTTTATGAATTGTCGACTTACCTTGAAGTTGAAATTGCATATTTTAAATGTAAGAGCTTTCTGTACCATATCATAAAAATCTAGCCGTCAGTAATGGGGAATCAATTCTTCATTCCTGTTAACAAAAAAATCAAGTGGAGATTATTATTATTGTTATCATGTTATCAATGCAAGGAAACTCTTTTTAAATGAAAATAATAATGTTTATAAAAGTTAGACAGAGAAAAAAGATTGTATGTGTTCCTATTCTTTACACAATTATCGCTAGTGTTTACAAACTGTCATGCTTTTTTACGATCTACAATGTCAAATGTAAGGATAATATAATCCCGGTAAACGAATATGAGTTTGTGACTGAATCGTTTCCTAGCAACAATTCTTAAACCTGACTGTTTATGTAACTAAATATGTAACAAATATGAAACTGTCTTATTGGAAACAGATGAAGCTTTCCGCAAATCGCTGGGGTACATATATATAAAGTCAAGTAATTTCATTTTCTACGTAATATTGATAAGGTTCGCTGAAACAGCAAAATTCAGAAAAATAGCAAAAAGGAAACGCATATTCAAATAATGGACGACAGGATTAAAATCGATGTTTTTGGACAAATGTATGCTGTTCCTAGGGAAATTATTGAAAATGGACCATCATCGCGATTGAGGAGAATGTATAAAACGGGTTCGTCCGTTTCTAAGTCTGAGTGCATCGTAATAAATAGACCAGCTGAAAGTTTTGCCGCAATTCTTGGGTTTTATCAAACTGGTGAACTGCATATTCCGACGACGTCATGCCCGGGAGCGTTCATGAAAGAGTTGGAATACTGGGAAATCACACCGGATGTAGTTTCAGATTGCTGTTACAACAGGTGAGTTGATATGCGATGTAAAAGGGGCTATGCATTATTTTCTCACTTTAGATGGTTCAGATCCATTCTGCCAAAGACCTTGTGCTATTTTATTTTGTTTTGTTTTTATGTCAATATTGCGATTATTGAGCCAAGGTTACTTCTAATGTCTAAATTATTTGTCGAAGTTGTCAATTTTCAATCTTTCTGTCAGCGTTTCACGAGAATGATCTTTTTCCTTTCTTAAAAACAAGTTCAATTTCTGCAAGGGTGATTGTCAAACATGTGTTTTATAATGTTGTGTTTGTTGATTTTGAACATTTAACAGAACCTGAAGATAACAAATGTAATATAAAATGATTTATAAATGAAATACAAATATAAATGTAGCCTTCGATACAAATCAACATTGTTTGAATTGTCAAATGAAGCAAAAGTTATACGGCTAAAGATTTTCATTCAAATTTTGACATGATACCAACTTTAAAAAGTTTTTTTTAATAAAAAAATGTTTACGCCATTTATAACTTTAACTTGTAAAAAACTGTGAAAACTTGAGAATTTCCCACTCTGGAATCATTATTAACTTGATTATTTGTTATAGTTATTAATATTAGTGCATGACTATAGACAAGTTTCTCCGAATAATAACAAGTAAACCATTTTTAGTAACAATACCAAAAAGGCACTTTTTCTGCCTATTCAATGTATTCCTTTCTAGAAAATAAGGATGAATAAGAATTAATAGATTCAGTTTTTGTTTCCGTGTTTCATACATAGCAAAAGGTAACCATAATATAAAAGTGTGTAATAAAAAATAATCTATTGATAAAAGTCTCTCTTATCGAAGTTAGATGGCGGTCTCCATGGCAATAAAATTCGTTGAATATAAAAAATCATTATGACGTTATTTTAAAGGCTTAAATTTCAGAAAAATATAGATTCTAGGTAAAAGCAAATATAACATTAGAAAAACTGTTTGTTCTTTTTTCTCTAAAAGAATATGATATTCTATGTTCATGTGATATCGATAACAATATGTAAAAGCAATGTAAAGCAATTCAATTCAATTCCATACTATTGTAAACTCTGACTATACAACCCGCCCGACTGCTCAGTCAGGTGAATTCAGATTTATTAAAACAAAAAATATATTAACATGGTTCCAAATCCAAAACAAGTTCTGGAGGCATTTTTTGCAACTGTTTAAATTGTCATTCTTTGGAGAATTAGGAAAAAACACTTTCAAATTGAATTTTTTATCTACAATATATAAGAATAATTTTGTTTTGAAAATAAATTCGCTAATAAAAGAAAATTAAAAGTCTTCTCTGCGAATTATTTATAAGAATCTGGTAAAAGATGAATCTAGAAAAAATGTGCCCCTCGTAAGCATTAATCACAGTCAACAAAATTACACGAAAACTGCAGACAAGGTTTGATTGAGTCTGTACAGGAAGGATAATAAAAAATGCAACATCCCTCACGCCCGCTTGCAACGGCCTGAGCCGTACTCAATTTTCAACACCTAAAAGTGCTGTGCATAATCAATGATCCCGAAGAACCAGAAAAATGTTACAACATTGAAGTGAAGTTCATATTACAGCTGCCACACAGCACTCGACAACTGCTGTTGTGAAGTATAAAGATCTGGAATAAAAGTCATCTATCGGAAGCATTATTCGCAACAAAATAAGATGAAAACTGCAAACTCAGTTTGATTGAAAACTGTTTGGCAAGCAAAAATACTCGTAATATGGAAAGATATTGCACATAATTCAATTTTATATCAATTTTTGCTGTCTTGTTGTTATTGCTTTCAATCAGTAGAACATACGTAAATATGAAACACGCCATTTTCACGTAGCTTGGCCCGCTCCAGTACAACCCATGTTGTATCATTCATTATTATTGTAATTGATGTTCATTTCTTTGCAGACTACAGAGTTTTATTGATGAACAGGATACACTGAGGCAATTCAAACAAGTCTCTGAAGATAGATCTTGGAGTGAATCGCCACTCGACTCGTACAGATGTATGAGAAGAATACGCGCTAAAATGTGGGAGATTGTCGATTACACAAAACCTTCTCTTTTGGGAAAAGTACGTGACATTTGTTCTACATGTATATCTATGTGTATCATAAATACATAAATTGTTTAAGGTAACTAAATATGGTAAAGATAAGATAACGCTTTGCTTAATAATGAAGTTAATTATTAAAAGACTTTTATTTGAAATACGATGAATAACAAGTCCGTCGTTGCATGCGTTGTGATAATATTATACATAATTATCAATATAAACTGAGTAAATGACTACGCCAATAATCAGCAAAACTTTGGAAAACGAATAATTATGCACTAAGCTGCTTATAAAGTAAAACCTGTAAATTCAAAGACTCAGTTCATCCCAAGGCTATAAAAAATTTAAGGATATTAAAAACAAAAACAAATAATAAAAAAAAATCTTATTGCACGAGTTTCCTCCCAATACTATTATTTTCATAATTTTGCTTAAACTTAAAGAATTAAAATTGTCTTCAAAACAACTATTAATCTTTTAAAACAAAATATAAAAATGTCTCAAAAGATCATTTTATAGACTGAAGCTATCAAGAAACTTTTTTCTCATAGTTAAATGACATATCTTATTAAACCGATCCTTTCTTTTATATAATGATCTACCTACATTTATTCATTAATTTTATAAATAACACTAATGCCGGCTCGCCACGGCGAGCCGGTATTACGTTAGAATTTTACTTAGAAACAACCTAAAACTCCGAATCCATCCAAAAATTTAATCTAAGCTTGGCTTCCAGCTTTCTACAAAATTTATCTGTCTGGGCTGGCATCCAAAATAATTAAGCCAATCAAATTTGATCTTACATAGCGGCAAAAAACCTTCAATTTTCACGCCATTTTTAAAAAGGAACAATTTTTGCTTTGAGCGCAAAGATGATAATGATGATAAAATATTTGTTTTCATGAATTCTTTTCAACTGGGACATAAGTCCCAGTTTTCAATAAATCATATTTACACTGACTTTTGATTTAGCGATTTCACCTGTTTTCTCTGTAGTAAGTTAAATAACTAACAATTAATTGGTTAATTAACATAAGTGTACATCTGGTTCTGTGCATATTTTCTTTTTCTTTTTTTCAGATAATTTTATCCTGTCCGGTATTTTGTGTATGTATTTACTGGGATATACTATTCTCCGGTCCGGTCGCTTCCGGTCTCTCCCGGTCTATTTTGACCGGGATTTACGAGACTTGAGAACTTGTACAAATCAAATAATCATGCCACATGAATCTAAATTCGCCCACACCCAAGAGAGTTCTTCAGTAATATATTCCTGTATAGGACTTGTGTCTGTCACTCATTCCAATACTAAATAACATATTACAACTTAACTTTGTATAAAGAGACATCTTTATGAATTCTACCTATCTAACATTTTTGGTCAAGGTCAACAGGCCATATAGTAAATGTGCATAGACATAGGGACTTCATTCTATCTGTTTACATGCATCTTCATATATACTCATATTCCCCTTTGTTAAACTGAAAGAACTGGCTTCCGTAACTTTATATGTCACTTTTATTTTGATGTTCGCTGAAGTCTCTTCAGGTATAAAACTGTCATTTTTACATTTAAACACACCCCTGGAATAAAATTACGAAGCGAGTCGCTACTAGCTTTTTTTAAAAGCTAACCTTGTATCGTATATAAATCGTATTTCTAAAATAAAATTACGCACACAAGTGAGTTTGATTTAAAAAATCTGCGGTCGTACACAGTCTCTCTGTACATTCACTCAGTCTTAGAGGACACGTGTCCATCCTTGTATATCACAATAATACACAGGTGTAACAACATCTTATCTCCACACAAAGTCTCATTTTGTTAAGTTTCATCTAAGGTTTCTCATTTGACTAATGAACATAATTGCTGTCATCTCTTTCTTGTTGGGAAGTACTGTTAATTCTTCTTTTGTTATGTAATTCTTTAGGATTTATTTCAATGTTTTAAATTTTATCATTGACAAATGTTTGTTATCATATTTACTTTTCTCTAAATCCCACCCATGCCATGGTTTGATTTGACCATTTTGTGGTTATATAAAATCAAAATTTTATAATGTTCTTTTGGCATAATATTACAGTTAGGTTTGCTGAATGATAAAACAGTTAAAATATGGGAATTGATCTATTCTAATCTTAAAAAAGTTATGTTTCAAAAACATATAGGCTGGAGAAAGACAGCGTCAAAAGCTCTTGTAATTTTTATTTCTTTGTTTATATAAATGTTACTTTTAAAGTTATAAACGACGAAGTACTTTTGGAAAATAATTAATGTAGTATCGGTTTGAGGCACTAATCATGATATTTGTGTTGAGATTGTTTACAGAAGCTCTACATTGTATACATGTGTGAAAATGAAATAAAAACACAAAAATAATAGACGTAAAAGTATCTTAATATTACATTTGAAACAATGATATCATGTTAGTAGATCAATTCTGGATTTGTTTTTTTTTTCAAAATGATCTATAATAAAACGGACATTGCCTCGAGAGCAGTATATGAAAGTATAATAGAAAAAATATCAACGATTGTATTTTGATTTGAGCATTTTCAAAAGACATAAATGCTTCTTTCATATGACACTTCAGTCAACAATTCAAACATTTTTTCAACATTGTCAACTGGATTCAATTTTCAATTTTGGAACATTGTAAGCGGTATATTACATTATATTTCTTCAAATTCTAGAGTATTTAGAATAGTTTCGTATTATAAATACTTAGTAAATAAATATCACATGATATAGACAAAGAAAACTTTATTTCTACAGATATACTTCGGTTTGACGCTACTGATGATATTGCTTTCAATATTCACGTTGGCATACAGCACGGATCCAGGTTTCCAACGCGCGATGACCAACTGCGAGCGTCTGGAGTACATGAAATCATCTGACATAGAAGGCTATGAGATGATGAAGCCTTATCTTGAGGAGAAGTGTGACGACGAATTTCTACCGATGCCAAATGAAACTGTTTCAGACAGTTTTTCCCTTCAATCTGATAACGAAACTAATCCTGAAAGTGATTTTAAAGTATACGTATTTAAAGTCATACGTGAAATCTTCAATGAAGATGAAGAAAACGGATTTAACTCGCGTAGAAGACCCGTTATGATTAATGACACATTTGATGCAAACAATACCGATAATTATAACAAATCATCATCAAGAGTGCATTTGGTAAAGGCTGGCGTACCAATTCCTCAGATATTTGTTGAACTGAAAAATGTGCAAGTGCCCGATATGAAAACACGACTGTTTATTCTCGTCATAATGGAATCCGTTTCAAACATCTTTTTTACTGTTGACACAATTTTACGTTTGTATTCATGTCCTCGTATGATATATTATTTTTTGTCGGTAATCAATATTGCAGACAACAACGGCGTTAATTGGCGCGGTATCTTCATTTGATTTTTATACTATACATACCCTCACTTACGCTACGGCAACCATGGTTTTGAAC